TCTGTTCTTTACCCTCCTGTTTTGTCATTTCGCAAAACAAGAAATAAAATAGAAAATCATGCTCCAGGAGAAGTATGTCAGACTTCTCCCTTGCAGAGCAAATCGGTGTGGCATGACTGGGCATCTAGAACTATCACACTATTTGCCCAAGTTGCTGCAAACAAAAAAAAACTCTTGTAGTGTGTAAGACAACAGAACTTTATTAATCTCAAAGGAAATTTTTGAATCCGGAAGGAAATTCTTGTAGCCTTGGACTTCAGTGTGCTAGTATTGTTGTTTGGCTCCTTTGGCAGTTTAGAAAAAAACAACAAAAAAACAGGCTAGATGACCGGCTGCTGTGGCTGCCAGACAAAAACCATCAAATTAAAGTAACTCAGGTGCAAAAACTATAAATTCACAGACATTTTTCATTGTTTGTTTTGTAGAGGAGTGCTGTTATTTTAGATGTTTGGCCTAAATGATCACAAACATCTTCAATAGGTGTTAACATATTCTCAAGATTGTTTAAAAAAATCTTCTTTTGGAAGACAAAAAAGCCCACTGCACTACTGATTCCAAAACACTTTAGTTTAATATAGTCAAATGAAAATGTACAATGTCAATGAATGTTTTTAATTAATTCTATAGAACGCTCCAGGAGAGATTGAAAAACTAAAAATGACTTTTCATTGTGTTGTGGGCTGCAACATAAAATGGAGACGAACACCAGAGTTTATGAATGTGCTTCAACTTTACAGTTAATGTCTTTAATTTGATAGACTTTCCTGCACAGTTTGAAACAGAAAACTCCTGTGAAATGCATGTTTGTGAAGAAAACTTTCTTCTTGCACAATGAGTCTTACTAAAAATTTCCTCTCTCCTCTCTTTTTATCTCCCTGTGTGACATGATTTCCCGTTTCCTACAGATCTTGCAGTATCAGTCCCAGCACACGTACCAAAACAAGGTCGTGCCATCAGCGGCTGTGCTATTTGTGTATGTGGAGCGAGCCCACGGCCTGCCGGTGAGACCACATCTTTGAGTCCCTGTTGTTTAAAGTTATGCGAGTGGAGGAGCACAAAAGCTGCTTTCATTGTCAGTGTACCGCATAGAGCACTGCACTGTAGTGCACCAATGCAGCTGCTGTTCAGGTATACATTAAATCAAGTGCGTTGACTTTAGTTGATGCTGTTAATTACAATTTTTTGCATTATACTTTGTATGTTATATCAGTTAAAGAAGAGTGGAAAGGAACCAAAGGCTGGAGCTGAGATTCTCCTCAAAGGTGTTTCAAACAAAACCAAGGTAGGTGGATGACTTTTGCACTGAGCATGTGTGTGTAATTAAAAAAAATGTTGTTTGACAAAAGGCATAAATGTTTTACTCCATAGATTTGTGAGCGTTCCACATCCCCTCGATGGGATGAAGCTTTTCATTATTTGGTGCGTGACCCCAGAGATGAAACACTCACAGTCAAGGTGAGAGAATAGACAACAACAGTAAATAAATGGTACCCACACCATTCACCAGGCCTGTCAGTTTTTTCTGTCAAAGCTGGCATGTTGTAGAGAAAGTCTAAAAGATGTGTACTGTGCGTGTTTTCTTCCAGCTCTCCCACAGCTGGGGCCAGGCCCTCGGCTCCTTGACTCTTCCTCTGAGGGAGGTGCTGGCCGAGCCGGGGCTGGTGCTGGACCGCTGGCTCAGTCTGGACGGAGCTCTGCCAGAGAGCCAGATTCTGCTGAGGGTCACACTCAAGGTACTCACAACATACTGCTTATTTTGTCTGCAGTATGTGTGGATGGGAGCAACGTCCTGATTGTGATTCATTCCGTCACTGTTTGTAGCTGAAAGTTATTATCCTGTATTAAACCAGTGTCGAAAAAAAACCCCCACTTATAGCCGAGAAATGCGTGCTCTATGTGATTTTTTACTCAGAGGAGATGCAATGAGTTTATCAGTGGACTTTTGTGGTGCTAATATATGATGGTTATTTTTTTTACCTTTGGACACAACCAGGATGTGTGTTTCCCAGTTTTGAGTATTTATGCTAAATTAAGCTAACTGTGCTTCACAAGTGTATTTTTTTGTATACTTTCAAGGTATCCTTCAGCAGATATGTTGTTTTGTAATTTGGGGGAAATGCAAAACATTAAAGATCTGTGCCGTGTAACTGTGCACCAGTATCTGACAGGGAAAGTAGAATTTACTCACTAGTACAAGATTGTTATGCAGCAGCAGCAGTGTCATATTTAGAAATGATTTCCACGTCTTGCAGCTCTTGGACACTCAGCTGGCAGTGTGTCGTAGGGCTCCAGGGGATGCCGGCAATGACGGCGGTGGAGATGAAGTCGTGCCCAGATGGGATCCTTCCCATCTAGACCTGAGACACAGAGGTGGATTCACCATGTGAGTCACACATAGAGTCCCTGTTCCTTTGTTGTGCCCCACGGTTTCACTGTAAAAACAGCCCTTATCACAGTTTTCTCAGTAGGCTGTTGTTCAGAATATTTCTTCCCAAGACGACACAATGTAAGTCAACACATTTCCCCATTTGTGTCTTCAACAGCAGTGACAGCCCTAACTCAGCAGGCCAGGTGAAGCTGACCATCGGCTACTCCTCCGAGGAAAACCGGCTTTTCATCACGGTTCACTCCTGCAGGTTTCTATTATACACACACTGACCTTTTCACCGTCACATTTATCAGCTGGTACCATTTTATGATCTAAATATGATGTTTGTTTACCCACAGAGCTCTGGCAGCCTGCTCCAAGGACGGTGCAGACCCGTATGTTTCCTTCATCCTCCTGCCTGACAAGAAGGCGACCACCAAGAGGAGAACCGCCACCAAGAAGAGAGACCTCAACCCCGAATTCAACGAGAGGTGAGACAAACAAATGGGACACTTGCGATTGTGAAAGAAGTGTGAGGATGTCAATTTAACTCTCCCGCCTTTCTCGTTCTTTCTGTAGGTTCGATTTTGATTTTTCCCTCGAGGAGTCCACGCAGAGGAGGCTGGACCTGTCCGTGAAGAACAGCGTCTCCTTTATGAGCAGGGAGAGGGAGCTTATCGGCAAGGTATTTATCATTCATCAAAATGCAGTCAGTTATTGCCTCAGGTTGCATGAAAGTCTTGGTTTTGCTTTAGTGATAATCACAAGACTTTTGCTTTCCCTCTTTGTCCTCAGTTGCAGCTTGACCTGGACCAAATTGACCTCAAGGCTGGTGTCACACAATGGTAATGATTCACACTACTGCCACTGGACAACATTGTGTAGTGATGTAAACAAATTCAAAATATTGCTTTGCTAGAGGTTACATAAACTCCAACATGTACCCTTCATTTTCCAGGTACGATTTGGTGGCAGAGACCAACTAGAAGACTCGATACCTGATCTTCGGTACTATATAACATAAACGTTGCTTCTGTGATCTGTGATTTGTGCGTTTGTGTATTCAGCTTAAACGAAAATTTCCACCATCACCGAAGAAACATACTGTAACAACGTTAGCTCCACAAACACACAGTCCATCAGTATTTATGAGAAGAAACTTTACATGTAGCTTATCATTCGTAAAGTGTGTAAATGTGCTGAATTCGTCCTGTCACGGACAGAAATTTTGGCTTCATAGATATTTGATAATGCAACTGTGTTGCACGACAAACCAAGAATATATGTGTTTAAAAGCATGTAAAAGTCCTCTTTGAATTATATTTAAAAAAGGGCTTATATGTGGTTAATATCCTAAGATAGGACTATGTTTTATGGATTTACAGCATTCAACACAAGTGAAAGAGATTTCTTTGAATTTTATTTTTTACAGTCTCCAAACAATTCCCATTGTTTATATACGTTTATATTATTGCCTTAAGTATTACAAAACTGTGCACAGTTTTTCAGTGTTTATGAAATGTGTTCCAGATGAAGTTTTATATGTTTTAACCAGAGCTTTCTGACATTACTTTTATAAATCAAAGTATTACAAACCTAGACCCTCACATTACCACTGAAAACAGAGGTATGATACTGTAAGCAGAGTCTAAATCACTGTGGTTTTATGAAGAGAAAAAACTTTGTAGATAACAAAAACGCATCGCTGGTGTTTCGGCACCCACGGCTTCTTTGTGTTTTTATGTGCTTGTAGCGCTTCAGTGCAGCCGGACCGATGCTGTCGGCTGTGTTTAATGCTTTGTTTTTTGAGCAATACAGTTTACGAGAAGCAGGATTGTCGTGTGTCAGTGGTGGCGCGGCTTCCAAAAGAGACCTGGATGCTGATTTGTGGCAAAGAAAACCTGTCGCAGAAAGGAAACTGCTGTGCTTTGACATAATTTGAACATATCATCGTGTATCTGCTGAAGTTGTTGATTAAAGTTTGCACTCTCATGAATGACTTTGTGATTTTATTTCATCAACAAATTTCCCATCAACAAAAAAACAGGCTGCAGGGTGGCGCAGTTGGTAGCACTGTTGCCTTGCAGCAAGAAGGTCGCTGGTTCGCGTCCCGGTGGGGGCACCAGAATCTTTCTGCGTGTTTGCATGTTCTCCACGTGCAGCGTGGGTTCTCTCCGGGTTCTCTGGCTTCCAACACAGTTGGAGGTTGAGGTTAATTGGTGATTCTAAATTGTCCGTAGGTGTGAATGTGAGTGTCTCTAAGTGTAGCTGGTGACCTGTCCAGGGTGTCCCCTGCCTTCACCCTAAGTCGGCTGGGATAGACTCCAGCCCCCCCACGACCGGTGTATAGATAATGGATGGATGGATGGAAAACAAAAACAAAAGTGTCATAGTCACTTCTTGCCAGCAGAAGGCGACAACGTGCTGACAGACCATCACTTGTCTGCTCCAGCTGTATGGAAGCTCACTGGCTGCAGATGTGAGGGGCGGGGTGGAGGAGGAGGAGGAGGGGGAGAAAAAAAAAACAGAGAGGATGATTGACATGTGTTTAAGCCAACGGGAGCGACGTCCTCCCCACTTGGAGGCGGGACCAGAGAAGAAAACCTGCACTCTGAGTGGAGGCAGCAGCACAGAGCTTAATCAGGATCACACAACAATAATGAATGGAAACACGTCGTAGCCAAGAAAGTTGAGCAGCAACTAGAAAAGTAACTGTCGGTGCGCATTTTTGAAAGTTATCTGCCGCAGGTGTTAGGAGAAGAAAGATCTTGTTGTAAGTAATGGATTGGCCAGGCAGGTTAGAAAGTGCTTTCTGGAAGCGAAAGCAGCTGTGCTGTTATAGTAACTTTTAAATGTTTTGAAGGGGAAACTACAGTGGAAGACACTGTAAAAACCTGAGCGCGTCGTTATTCGTGCGTAAATGGCATTTTGGAACAGTAACGCGCTGTCAGTTTGCTGGATTATTTGGATTTGAATGAAACTCGTTGGAATACGTGGGAGATTTTTTTTTCTTTAAATTGGATTATTACCACTAAAAGAAGGATTGGAAAGATTTTTTTTATAAAGAGGATCCATTACTAAAAGAAGAAGATGGGGAATATAGAGAGTGTGGATGGCCAGTCGGAGATGAAGCATCACATCATGCCTCTGAAGGTGCCCATGCCTGACCCCACCGAGCTGGAGGAGAAATTTGCCATTGTTTTGGTAAGTTACAGTCCGAATGTCACACAAACAGCTGTGAAACTGGTGTTTTGTTTTGTAGCTTTTAGAGTTTTGTTTCCATCTTTATCACAAACATAAACATTCCCGGTGGTGGACATTGTTGCTCCTGGATTCAAAACTTGACTTTTTTTTTGGTTTAGATTTGAGTTGAAAAGTGTGTGTATTTACACTTCTGTGTGTTCATGAGATCTAAATGAACCGACCTGTGCTGTCCCGCCCCTCATTCTCTGCCTGCTGTCCCCCCTCTCCTCTCTCCTGCGGTTCTTTTGTCTCTCCGAAAGTCAGACAACTCAGCGTTTGGCTGAAGTGGCAAATACTGAGCGCAGCATGGTGGGAGTTAGGAGGGAGAGGGGGGGAGAGATGAAGGGCTTTTTTTTCAACAGGGGGGGAGGAAGAGTCATGATACTGTATATCCTTGATAGAGTCCAACGCGCATTCTCTGTCTCTGGGTTTATTTCGTTTAGATTTCTCGCTGCAGGCAAACCATCTGAAAACAACATTTTCTGAATTCCCCCAAAACTCCCACAGCCGAAGATTCCTCCCCCTTCTCTTCCTTCCACACACCAGGCTGAAGCTGAGCTGTTTGAGTGCTTTGTAATAATGAGCACACAGTCGACACCCACTTTTTACCGTCTATCAACACTCAGTTGAAGTCAGGATGACAGAGTCACGCTGTCATTTTCACGTCAAAGGGGACATTTCACTTTCCACCAAGTTACAAACAGGGACTTTACGCGTTTTCTCTGTTATATGAGCACTCATGTGTACCAGTACTCAGGAAACCTTTTGTTTAGTCATAGCAAATTAAAGAACACAAGACAGAGCCTCAATAATCCCAGAAGAAGTTCTTCATACAAGAAGTTGTTCTTAACCAATGCTGGAATTTTGAGGTTGCTGTTTATAGATAAATCTGAATTATATTAAAAAGGTAAAGAAATGGATGTCATTGTTTATTATCTTTCCAACAATGTACTTCACAAACTTGTTAGCGACTTACCAGGAAGACTGACTCTGCGCCACCATCTGCTCAGCTGTGACTCTGCTACATGTGCTGCAGAAAGCACTGAGGACACAGGAAACAATGGAGCTGAAGCTGCTCTGTGATAACAGTTTTTCGATCGCCCCCAGCATCTTCTTCTGTATTATGGTCTGTAAAGTTGAGTAAAGGATACATATTGCCGCATTTTAAACATGTACAGCAAGACGAATACATTTGTGACAAGCCGATATTGGCTGATAATATCCATCCCACAATATATTAAGAAACATGTGCTGTTACTAAATGTTGCCTTTTATTTTTATACTTGGGTAGATCAGCAATTCTACTTTAACTATTTTTTTTCACATTTGATGACCAGATGAGCTGCCACCAGAAGATTTTTTTTTACTATTTCTTTTCTTTTCTTTTTTTTTTTTTTAAACGTAATTCAAATATTAGATTTTTATTCTTGTGAGTAACAACTACAAGGTCCTCACTAAATCTCCTTATGTTTTATTCAGCTTATCAAAACCAAAGAATGGAACCAAAGCCTAAACAATACAGGATATTTGGGGCAGATAACGACTGTAGGGAGTAACAAATTCTGATATATTGATCTTGAGTTCTATTGAAAAGGGAAAGACATGGGGTCAGTCTTTATTATCTTTCCCGCAATGGATTTTTACAAACTAGTTAGCAACTTAGCATGGAGACAAAGCTTGACTCTGCACCACCATCTGCTCAACTACATGTGCTGCAGACAGTGTTGAGAATATTAAGAACACTGGAGTTGGTGATGCTTTGCTGGGCAGATGAAACCATTTCTAAATGATCCCAAGCATCTTCTTCTGAATTATGTTCTGTTGAGGGAAGTTTACATATTGCCACATATTGCACATTACTTATACACTAATACTGAAATATCTGCACCAGCCCAATATTTGCTGATAATATTGGCCCAATGATGTATCAGTCAGGCTCTGCTGAAACTAAATTATGTTTTTTTTTTTTTTTTTTTAATCTACATAGGTGGAAAATAATTCATTAACTCATGTACATGTTTGCATTTGATTATAATAGGAGTGAGTCACAAGAGAATTAAGTAGAACATTGATTTTTTTTTTAAAACTTAGTTTAAATGTTTGCTTTTTATTCTTCTGTTTAACAACCACTACATTTTTTTTTGCTGTAAAGACAGTATTCCAAACTGATTATTAAAAAACCCCTAACATCCCATCTTTGCATTAGTCACGCCTCGCTTTATTTATTTATGTTTACTCAGTAAATTAAAACCAGCATAGAAACAGCGAGTTGTGGTTTCATAAGGGGTTACGTGCCAGCCTATAGTCATTTCCTGGAGTCATGTTGTCACTGTGAGGTTGCTAGGAAACCCAGTGAGACACTTTGGGAACTGGTGAGTGCGATACCAACCTCTCACCTAACTCGAGACGAGGAAGGTGCTAAGCCCGTATTGCTGATGTTTGACTTCGGCTGAGAGAATTTCAAAGCGGGAGGAATCACTGTTCGACTCTGCTGCTCGCTAAAACCGCATCAGCACCGAGAGAGGAAGAGGAGTCACAAGTTGACTTTGCTTCATTTTAGAGGGAGCAATTAGAAGCACTTTTGATCTCAGGGCAGTAGCTGAGTAAATGTTCACTGAGGAGAACTGCAATTTCCTAGAAGTCTAGTCAATGGAACATGCTTGCTGCTCTCTTATTTTACATTTAGCTGAGCAATATTTTGGTCACGCTGTGTTTTCACCAGGACTATTTTAAATTGCATATTCGAGAACTTTTTTCCATCCCTGCTCAGCTCCACGTGCACCCACAACGAGGCAGAAAGCTCAGTAGCGTCGCTTCAGCTTGTTGCTCTGTTACAGCGTGTATTTTTCTGCTACACATAGAAGTTTTTTAATGTATAGAAACAGACTATACCTGTCTATTTATTTATTCATTTCAAACAGTATCATTATGATTTCTTCCCCCAGGTGCTTATTTCGTGCTCCTCACTCCACATTTCAGCGTAACCACACCCAGCCTTGACTTTCAGCTGTTTAAGACCTTAATTACAGCATCAAGTGCCAAAGAGCTTCACAGAATTACTCCGACAGTCTCATTCATGAATACGTCGTGGACCCTCCATGTTCCTGGAAGACAGCCATTATTTGCTTGCCAGAGCTATCAGCAGCCTCAGACCGAGGCCTTCGTATGAAGAGACCGGCGCAGCACGAAGCCATTCAGCCCCTGCTTGTTGACTGCTGTGCTAAATCTCAGCTATTATGACAATTATACACTGTACTACACTGTAAGCGCGAGAATGACAGCTCAAGTCATGTCTCTCTTACGCGGATAACTTTTTTTTTTGCAAGTTAGTGGTTATAAAAAGACAGTGTAGCGGAATGTTTTTCCATGCGACTGATGGGTAAATCATCCTAAAAAGATTTGTAGTCATCACATTTCCCATAAATGAGGACTGGAAATTTCCTTCTTTTTTTATTTTATTTTTTAAATCAACATACATCCTGGCTAGAGACGAGCAGTCAGTAGTTGTTTGACTACCCTGCGACACAAAGCCAATCCCTGTTATTATGTCCAGCCGTGCAGAGCAGATGATTTCAATGCATGAAGCAGTAGACTCAACATCTCAGTTGTGTTTCTGAGTGGGAAAAGTTTTCAGCGTCTCTCCACCCCACCCCACACTGCCCCATAATAGCTCCAGATTTCCTTTACTTGTGGGAAAAGGACAGCATGCTTGTATATTTTAGTGTCCTTATCAGACAATGGTCCTCTCTCGGCCCTGTTGGCCTCTTGTTGCGAGATAAAGGTACATCAAAAGCTTTTGACTTTGTGGTTAAAGCTCTTCAGGAAGACGAGGCCGTGGCTTTGCTGTCTGGCAGCGGCTATAGATCTGGGTGCTCTCTCCAAAGCACCACAGTGTATGGGCCACTTCACCTCACTTTTTCTAGACTGAGCTGATTTCTTTCTTTAGTATTTGTTTGCAGAGACTTCGTCGCAGCTTTGACTCGCCATAAATGGATATTTTGAAATGGGTAATTTCCCCCTCCTCTGGACCACTGTGTTTCCTGCTGCATGATGGCATGCTTGCGTAAATGGATGTGTCTGCATCTGCATGGTGGGACTGCCCCCTCAGACACAGCGCACAGACGTCCCACTGGAATGACAGCAGCCCATAATGATGTCATGGGCGCAGCAGCAGCCTTCGCCAGTGTAGTAATATCCCTGCGCTAATGACTTTAACAGGGTCGCTCTACTGTAGATGGTCGAAGGCAGTGGAGGAGGGGCGAGACCCCTGGGTTAGCTTCGACTGCTTCATGCCGTCTGCCTATAAAACGCCTGGGTCAGGTCTAACAGGCAGCATGTGCTAAAGGCATCGTCTCACTCCTTCCCGTCTCTTTTGTCCTGCATCCTCAGAAAACAGCTTTAGCTCTGTCTTCTGTGGCTGGAAACAGCTGCCTGGCATTTTCCTCACTCGCTTTACAGGGGAAATTGCATTGTAGCCAGTGGTCGTTGTGGTTGGTTCGCTTTACTGTAAGAACTGTGTTCCTGCAGGCTGCTACTGGTGCACACAACAGCAACACACATCTACCTAGACCTCACAGATGGGCGGTTGTAGATGCACCACATTAAAGCCGTATCTATGAAATGACATCTTTGTAGCATTCTTTTAATAGCTTTGGCTCCTTTTGCACTTTTTGCTGTCCTTGATCAGTAACTCTTACTTATCCTTGGCTTCGTGCGACTCCAGATGGAAGCAGAACCTCTCATTCACTCACCCAGTCAGTGTTTCCTACCTTCCCATTCCCCCCGAATTCACTCTCACTGTGGGTCTGCCCCACAAAATAACTTTCTCCATATGACTCTGTCCTTATGAAAACGACGTGAGATGAGTGAGTGGCGTTTCAAAGCCTGAGATCCTCAAAGTTCCAGGATCGAGCACCAATCCGCCGCTGGATTCCTGCGGCCTAGTCGAGGCTGAGGCCACA